CTCTGAGGATCCCCTATATCAATATCTGTTATATTACTGTAAGTTATAGTTTTAACTGATAATGATACTAATTCAGATTATATCAATATCTGTTATATTACTGTAAGTTATAGTTTTAACTGATAATGATATTAATTCAGATTATATCAATATCTGTTATATTACTGTAATTATAGTTTTAATTGATAATGATACTAATTCAGATTATATCAATATCTGTTATATTACTGTAAGTTATAGTTTTAACTGATAATGATCCTAATTCAGATTATATCAATATCTGTTATATTACTGTAAGTTATAGTTTTAACTGATAATGATACTAATTCAGATTATATCAATGTCTGTTATATTACTGTAAGTTATAGTTTTAACTGATAATGATCCTAATTCAGATTATATCAATATCTGTTATATTACTGTAAGATATTGTTTTAATTGATAATAATGTTAATTCAGATTATATCAATATCTGTTATATTACTGTAATTATAGTTTTAACTGATAATGATCCTAATTCAGATTATAATAATATCTGTTATATTACTGTAAGTTATAGTTTTAACTGATAATGATCCTAATTCAGATTATATTAATATCTGTTATAGTTTTAACTGATAATGATCTTAATTCAAATTATATCAATATCTGTTATATTACTGTAAGTTATAGTTTTAACTGATAATGATACTAATTCAGATTATATCAACGCCTGTTATATTACTGTAAGTTATAGTTTTAACTGATGATGATCCTAATTCAGATTATATCAATATCTGTTATATTACTGTAAGATATAGTTTTTTTTGATAATAATCTTAATTCAGATTATATCAATATCTGTTATATTACTGTAATTATAGTTTTAACTGATAATGATCTTAATTCAGATTATATCAATATCTGTTATATTACTGTAATTTATAGTTTTAACTGATAATGATCCTAATTCAGATTATATTAATATCTGTTATATTACTGTAAGTTATAGTTTTAAATGATAATGATTTTAATTCAAATTATATCAACGCCTGTTATATTACTGTAAGTTATAGTTTTAACTGATAATAATCTTAATTCAGATTATTTCATATAACACCTATGAATATTTGTATATTTTCATATTATAGAAATATGATCAGACTTCGAAGTATATCGCATCCCAAGGTAAAGTATTAGTTTCTATTAAATCATTCAAAGCTGAAATTCAAATCTTATATGATCTCATGATCATGGGCATATGATGAAACATCGAATACTCTTTCTTATATAAATAATTTGACATGACCGTTTTTTACCTTTTCGCTGAACAAGGAAAAAGGAAAACTTAAACAACATTTTCAAATGTTACAGTTTCCTTATTGTCACTGACTAATTAACAATTAAGATTGATAGTCGTGTATTATATTAAAGGGGCAGTATGCAAACTTTTCATTGTCAAAAACGTCGTAAATTATACTTGAAAATATTTCTAAAATGTGCTATATACGTTTATGTATCTACTTGATCAAACTGAATTGTTTCATAAGGATTTATCAGAGCGTACT